GCACTTATCTACGACGAGATGGTATACAAACTTTATTGATGGTAACTTTATTGGTGTATAGGACTTTCTGCCTAGGCAACGAGTATTAACTATAAACTGCGCTCTGGTTCTACAGTTAATTTCCCTCGATTTTTCCTCCACTTGACTTCATAAGGCACAAAACACATGTAATAATACGAATCAAAATTCATCATCTTCCAAAACGCAGGATATTTGACATAAGTTGATACAAAATTATAACTTATAATTTGGCAAGACTTTGAAAAGCCTCAAAAATCTAAAGGCGAGTTCATACGCATCGGCGTCCGTTTGTCGTCCATCGTTCCGTCAAACCAATAAAATTAAAATATGATCTGTCATTTTTAATATAAACCAATGAAACTGGTTAAAAACAACAAGAGACGACGGATTTATATTTAAACCCATCCATAGTTAACTTAAAAAATATTAGAAACTTTTTTAGTAAAATAAATAGATTGGTATGGGACGTCATCTGCTTTTCTACTGTCATCGTCTGTCGAAATCTTACCTGAGAAAAAAAACAGAGTATAACTGAGTAGATGTGTTAGAAATTACTCACTTTCGAAACTGCACCAAGAGAGCAGTAAATAATTATTGAACCTCATATATGATTCTAAAAAAAATCCTTTTATTTAATCTTATTAAAAACTTATAGGTGGGTCAATGTTTCAACCGAGGTTTCAATGTTATCTTTTTTCATTTTTTCACAATTTAACATTCTAATGTTAGTTTTTTATGGATTTTTAAATTAATTTATTGAAAGATAAGAATATCTCAGCCTTTCCAGATTGGATATTAAAGTTTGGAACTCCGCCTTATGCTCGCTATTTAAGAAACTTCTTTAGTAGAGAGAAAGCAGGAGACACACATTTTCACAAAGCCTAATAAATAAAATAAACAAATTATATAATTCTTGCCGTGAACTGCTATGAAAAATTTTTCACATTGTGTTTGTCATTTCGGGAAAATCAACCAACCTCTCACGACCGGTTTCTGGGCCTTTACCCTTCATCAGGTGAGCTCAAACACATCGCAGAGAATTTCAATGAGTACTGTCTACGAGATCTCCACAATGTACTGGCGATTTAATATCTAACCGCTAGGTTCCGACAGGTTTTCCTTATTTTATTAAAAACAAGTTTAACCTTCCCCTACCACTTTATTTTATGAGATAGAAGTGAATATGCAACCTATGTTGCCGATAAAAAATCCACGCAGGCGCATCGGATGACATTTGTCAACCGTCCTTTATCATCTGTCAATTGTCACATGGCGTAGGTCATATGCCAGCCCCATCTGTTTCCACTTTACTTCAAACTACTTACCTAGAGCTCCACACGTAATGGCGCCAAATTTTCAAGGACCCTACGAATCTACGAAAAAAAACAAATTTTCCATCCATTACAATAGTTAAAAATGCTTCTTCTTCTTCTTTCAGTGCCTATCCTCTATGGATGTTGGCAATCATGTTGGTCCACATAATCCTATTGACAGCCGCCCTGAATAGATGTACCGTCGTCATTCCCGTCCACTGTCTAATATTTTTCAGCCATGATGTTCGTCGGCGTCCCTGACCTCTTCTACTATCTATTTTGCCCTGCAGTATATAAGTTAGATAAGTTGGTATTTATCATTACGCATCACATGCCCAAGGTATGCCATTTTTCTCACTTTCACACTATGTATTATTTCTAGTTCCTTTTGCATTCTCTGGATCACGGTATTGTTTGTGACATGGTAAGTGTATGAGATCCTGAGCATGCGGCGATAGCACCACATTTCAAAGGCTTCCAAGCGTCTAGATGTAGCATCTGTCAGGGTCCAAACTTCCACTCCATATGGGAGCGTGGAGAATACGTAGCACCTTAGGACCTGTGTTCTTATAGCAATATTCAGGTGCATATTGCTTAGGATTTTTCTAAGACGGTTAAAAACGGTCCTGGCTTTTTCTATGCGGCATCTCTCGTGAGTGATCCCATTCCTTGTTCAAGCTGCAGCTCAAATACATGATTGTATCTGCTGTTTCCAAGGTTTCGTTATTCGCCCTAATCTGGTGGTACTACGCCTCATCATTTTTACTAACTACTAGAATTTTGGTCTTCTTGCAGTTAAGCCTCATACCATACATATCACATGCCTCTACTACTCGGTCTATTAATTTCTGCAATCCCTCAGCACTCTCTGCTATGAGAACTGTATCGTCCGCGTACCTTAAATTATTGATGGTTTCTCCATTGATCTTTATTCCTTCTTCTGTTTCACTGAGCGCTTGTCTGAACAGTATTTCGGAGTACGTATTAAACAGAATTGGTGACAGTATGCATCCCCGACGCACTCCACGACTCACTGTAAATTCTTGGGAGGTTTCATTGTCTACACGCACTGTCGCTCTCTGGTGCAGATACAAGTTTGTTATAAGGCGAAAGTCTTTGTCATCGATACCATATTCCATTAATATTTCAAGTAATTTGTGATGTTGCACCCTATCAAACGCCTTCTCGAAGTCGATAAAACAAGCGTAGACATCACGGTTCACGTCTCTGGCTCTCTGTATCAGGGCTTGTATAGAAAATAGGTATTAAAAATGCTACTCACATACACACATATATATATAGATATATATATATATATATATATATATATATATATATATATATATATATATATATATATATATATATATGAAATGAACAAAATTCTTACAGCTTTAGTGTATATTAATAAATAATATTTTCTTGCCTTTAGCTGTGTATTTTTTCTAATTTCGAAAAATCGAAAGTAGAGAAAAAATTTAAAAAAAATAAAAAGTAAAAAGAAAATTGTTTTGCTTGTCGTAAAGGGGGGAACCAAGCTCCACTCCCACAACCGGTTTCTGGGCCTACCCTTCATCAGGTGGGCTGTCCAGGGGCTGGTTCTCACCGATACGGCAAGCAAAACTTCTTCTATATCAACAGACGATGTCGTAAACTGTCGGTGAGATATTAATGCATCTCCCGTCAAAAGATGGCAAAGAGCGTTTTTCGGCCCGCTTAAATATATGAAATGAACAAAATTCTTACAGCTTTAGTGTATATTAATAAATAATATTTTCTTGCCTTTAGCTGTGTATTTTTTCTAATTTCGAAAAATCGAAAGTAGAGAAAAAATTTAAAAAAAATAAAAAGTAAAAAGAAAATTGTTTTGCTTGTCGTAAAGGGGGGAACCAAGCTCCACTCCCACAACCGGTTTCTGGGCCTACCCTTCATCAGGTGGGCTGTCCAGGGGCTGGTTCTCACCGATACGGCAAGCAAAACTTCTTCTATATCAACAGACGATGTCGTAAACTGTCGGTGAGATATTAATGCATCTCCCGTCAAAAGATGGCAAAGAGCGTTTTTCGGCCCGCTTAAATATATGAAATGAACAAAATTCTTACAGCTTTAGTGTATATTAATAAATAATATTTTCTTGCCTTTAGCTGTGTATTTTTTCTAATTTCGAAAAATCGAAGTAGAGAAAAAATTAAAAAAATAAAAAGTAAAAAAGAAAATTGTTTTACTTTTTATTTTTTTAATTTTTTCTCTACTTTCGATTTTCGAAATTAGAAAAAATACACAGCCAAAGGCAAGAAAATATTATAATATACACTAAAGCCAAGAATTTTGTTCATTTCATATATTTGAGCGGGCCGAAAAACGCCTTTTACCATCTTTGACGGAGATGCACCAATATCTCACCGACACTTTACGACATCGTCTGCAGATATAGAAGAAGTTTTGTTTGCCGTATCGGTGAGAACCAGCCCCTGACAGCTTTGCCAATCTGGATGAAGGGTAGGCCCAGAAACCGGTTGTGGGAGTGGAGCTTGGTTCCCTTACGACAAGCAAAACAATTTTCTTTACTCTTTTATTTTTTTTAATTTTTTCTCTACTTTCGATTTTTCGAAATTAGAAAAAATACACAGCTAAAGGCAAGAAAATATTATTTATATATATATATATATATATATATATATATATATCGCATATTTTTAAGAGAAAATCCATTTTCGAAAGCTGCTGTGACCAGTCTTGGAAAATGGGTGTCCTTGTTCTGAGGATTGATCATAATTTGTGAACTACAAACAATACTTGTTCCAAAACTTGACACGAACAATTTTTTAATGTTTAAACATAATATGTAGTTAGAAATACTTTACAATCCAAAGTGGACTAGAACAAATAAATACAAAAATAAAACTAGGCAATAATACAAGCTGGATTATGAGTTAAAAAAAGTTTAAATAATATATAACTAAACATATTTGATTGTCTTCTAAAAATTGATTGAAACAATGTTATTTAAACAGTGTAATAATTTTCTTTTTTCTATAGCAACAGTTAAAATTGCCTTATATCTATCACAAATAGTAGATAAAATGGTAGTTTAACCGCAAGGGTAGATTAAATGATAACTTTAACAGCGAGGATAGGTTAAAAACTTTATTTCTTCTCGCAGGTTTTTTTAATTGTTTCCATTTTTGAAAAATTTTATATTTTTTTTCATAAATTATTCGAGATTTAAATGGAAATAGTTTGGATATGGTGTTTGTCGCCTCAGCCTAAATATCTGTTGGTAATTTACTTATTTCGTTTTGAGCCAGTTCTGGCTTCAATTCAATCAGCAATCGACACGAAAGAGAATTAAATAACATTGACTCAAAACTGACAACTAAAGAGAGAGCTTTATTTATTTATCAAATTATATAGAAACCAACGCCAACCCAGCACAATATTTTTCTACTCGTAATAAATTCCTTGAAATAATAATTTCTGAATATTTTTTAAAACGTAATTCGCTATGGAAAAAAATATTGTTTTATACACGACAATAAAATTGCATTATCGTCTCCCGAAATTAATTCACTCGCGATTTCATCGCTCGTGAATTAATCTTTTCATCGACTTGTATAAAAAATAACTATGTTAATTCTTCTCTAATAGATTAATTTTCTTTTTCAGCTACCACTAAATCCACTGGACATCTCTTCTCAGAAGTCAAAGGCCTCAGTGGGACGTAGCGTAAACAGACGACCCCCGTCCCGACAACCCCGCAGCTCAACCTCCTCATTCCAGAATGATCTCAGTAACCCTTTAAGAAACGCTCATTTAGCCGCAGCGGTTAACCTTCACCGAGTATCCAGACTGTGTCACCAGATTCACGAATCCGCCGTGAGGAACGCTTTCGGCAGAAAATCGCCGTCGATAAGCCAGAGAGAAAGCGGTGACGGAAGCGTGAGTGGTGTAGAAATAACTGAACTCGAAAGTAGCGTTACGTCTAACAGCAACGAAGTAACCTCACAGTCGGTCCTTAGCCGAACCAAAAGCACCAGCAGCGAGGATATCTACAAAACCCTCGATAAGGACTCCAGCGTGAAAAGCATCGAAGACTTGGAAGACCTGGAGCAACTCCAGAACTGGCGCAGAACTTCAAAAGTCCGACGTAGTTTACAGTACCCTAAATGTAGCTCGCCTAGTGAAGCAACGAAGCCTTTAGACTTGCCAGAGGGTGGTGTGAGTGTGAAGAAAATTCGAGAAGAGTTGGAAAAAGGGAGACGCCTGAACACAGCCTTAAGAAACAATTCGGTTTCAACAAACTTTGAAGCGTTGGATCAAATAATTCAATCGATATCCAGTGCAAGCTCGATAGATCGAAGTTCAACGGATGAGAATTTGGACGATAACGAGAACGATCTTTTAATATCCAAGCCCAAGAAGAAAAGAGAATCGTTTGTGACAGTGGAGTCGCTACAGGAAGTCAAAGGCCGGTTGAGGCACACTACCTCGCCAGGCAATAATGTTTACAGTAATGGAAAGAAACGTAAAGACGAAGAAATTGATGATGGAATCGTAACAGAAGAAGAGAAATCGAATCAGAGCAGAGTAAAATCGTACGTTTACGGAATGGAAAACACCACACAAAATAAAAAACCTGTTATAAGCACGGGTAGTCTAGAATCACGCTCTAAACTCGTGAACGGAACTAATAACCATAAAAATGAAGATTGGTACAACAGGAGGAAATCGTACGGTTTCGAGCAAGTACACACCCAACAGGATTCGAGCTCAATCTCGCTCAAAAACAAGAAAATGGTCGAATCAAGCACGGACAGTGGCATATGCAGATCTAACGACATCCTCATCGTACCGCCTTCGACCAAAAGCAGCGCGGCTAACAGCAGGTTCAAAAACTCGGACAGTGAAAGTGACACGGAAAACAAGTACAACGCGATTAACAAAGGGCTTAACGGTATCCATTACGGGAACGTGAAAAAGATGACGAGCATATTCGATAATCAAGAGGACAAAAACAGAGTGGCGGAAGATGCGGGCACGGCCTGGGGCAAGCCGACATTTAGAGAGCCCGATTGGAAGAGAGGCGAAATTAAATCGACCACCATCACAATACCCATCGTAAAGAACAACAACGTCATCGACTTGCCTTGGAACGATGAACCCGAGAAGGAGATCAAGAGGCACTCGATAGCGGTGGATGAAGCTAAGTACGCTGCTGATAGTAGATACAGAAGAACCAGTCTAGTCGGAGAACAATACTTAAAAAACGACGTTTTAGACGACGATCCATACGGAAACAACAGAAAAACTAAAAAAGTAGAGTTCTGTAAAACCGAAGTTCACTTTGCCGCAGAGTCTGGTAAAGTAAACATCGTTGCAACCGATGAGAAACCTCCTCCAACACACAATTTCAGGCGGAGACGCAGAAATTCGGGCCCTATAACAAACTTTAACGAAGACCTCAATAAAAACGGTCTTCCTATGTTACATTTCGGTGACACATCGTACGAGAAAACCATGTTCAACGTGACAAACGACGAAAACTCGGGTGAAAATTCGGAAAAACTATCCTCCTCCCTGGCTCCGGATATCTACGAGAACCTACCCAGCTACGAATCGAGAGTTCCTTCAAATTTCGGAGTGGTAACGGTTAACACTAACGCATCTAAAACAAAGAACCACTTCGAGCAGAACGAAGACGACAGGAAGGAGAGTTTCGACGAGAACATCAAAGGCATTTTGAAAAACAAACCCGTTAAACCTAAACCGTACCATTTAGGAGAGAGCGTACCTTTTTCGGAATCGACGTCGGACGAGGATTCTCGAAGATGGGGAGTTAGATTACGGCACGTGCCGAAAGAAGACCCGCCCATCTGGAAATCGACAGTGACAGTTCATAATTCGTTTGTGAACAAAGATGAAGAAAGAAACAATAAAATCAACGCTTCCAGCGATCCTCCGGAGTTCCAAAAACTTCTGAGAAACCTGCGGCCGATTAAGAAGGCCGATTACCTGTCGGACAACGAAAACCGTTATTCGGATAGTTTCGCTAACATTCGGGTAGTTCCGGCGGCCAAGGACAGTCGAAGGTCGTCGTGGTCAGTGGCGGACAAGGTGGAGGAGATTCCGGAAAATAGGGGTTATTCGACGAAAATCAACTTTGGTGATGGAGAGGCGATTGTGGTGGAGAACGATCAGTCTACGTGGCCGCGTATGGAGAACCTATCGAAGGGTGAGTTTGAGTGGTTCAAAACTAATGGTGACAGGAAGTGGTGGTGTACATAATAAAATACTAACTTTCTTAAATGTGGTTGTCAAACATCGAAAATGCATTATTCTTTCAATTTTGTAAATCCTTTTAACGCAATAGCGCTGGTCGATTTTGCAAAAATCGTAAATTACATTTTAAAATCAAACATTTAAATATCATGTAGGTAGCATAGACTAAATATATTCATTAAGAAATGAAATCCAAGTGATCTATCTTATAATATGATATTTTTTTATTTCACTATCGAGGTGTTTTAAAAAAAAAATACGAAAATTTTATTAGCATCTGTTTCTCCTATTTTTTTCCGCCAAAAGCAGAGCCTTTCTTCAGTTTTGCATTTTAACTAAAGATCTTGTTTATCTGTGTTTCTAGATGTCCAATAAGAATCCATGATATTAGGAACCTTAAATAATTTGTTTGGTATAAGAACCTATTTTATATATCGATAATTTTCGGTTTTTGTTTCGGAGTGTTTTTCAAGAACTCTCCATTTGTTTTTTTTTTTAACTCCAATTCTTTTCTTTTTACAATGAATAATGTTTTTTTCTTCTAGTGATGAAGCACATTATATGCAATGAAAAATGATTTACCCTTAATTTTAAGTTTAAAAACCTAGTAACAAGTTTAAAAGCCTAGTAACAACATTATGAAGTTTTTCAGGCGTTATACTGTATTATCTTGAAGCCTTACTTGTTTTAGAATACAAATTGGTTTTAATTTCATGGGAAATAACTCGTTAAGTATCACCTGCAACATAGTACTTTAAAATGATATGTGACATGGAAATTTTAATACGTCATTGAATATTCATTATATTGTATTTTTGAAAAATCGACCAGTATATTGTGGTTTTCGATATATCTATATACTAATATATAATAAAAAAATCTATATATAATATACTATGCCTCAGAATATCTCAGATAATAGAATATCTACTCTATGTTTGTAAATTAATTTATTCAGTGTAAACAATAGTAAATTAATAGTATATTTTTATTTGATTTAGATTTTAAAATAAAATTTCTTGATGCCATGTTTAAATATTCATTTCTTAATCGCATGACAAATTTTCTATCAAATTTTTCATAGTTCTGTGTGCAGCATATTATTTATCTACATAATATTCTGCTGATAACATCAATTCTAAAGTAAATTATCTACTTTCACTTATTTTTTTTTATTACACTTTATGTTAAATTTGGTTTGGTTTGTAAAAAACGAGTAAATATCCGTTCATTTCAATGTTTCAATATTGCTAAAAGCCATTGTTAATGGTTAATCACATTTTCAAACCGATGTTTTGTCTTTGAGCTGCCATCAAGTTTCGTTTTATTTTAATACAGCTCTGGATTTTTGGTTAGGAATTTTAAGAGCTTCTAAGGTCCCAAAACCAATCATTTATCGCATCTATATCGAAAAATTCATATTAATGGCATTTTCCATAAGAAATGTGGGAGGCAGAGACATAGAATATATTTTTCCTAAGATCTTACCAGAAAATCATCATTATGAATTACTACAAAAAAATCAACACAGAACTAGGAATAATCTGTTAGCTAGACTAATTGCAATAATGATTTTAGAAAAATAAATAAAAATTTTAACCTACAAATTATTGCAATTAGTATAAAGTAGTTAGATTCCTTAAAATAATTACTCGAACTGCTGAAATTAGTTTTCAGCAGCCTTAATTTTACTAATTAACCAGACCAGGTGGCACAAACACACTGCACTTGTAGTTATAGTAGAAAGTAGTTCACGTTAATTAAAATTACACCCAAATAAACTAGTTTCATTTGCACATTACTATTATTAACAGTGTAAATTTAAGATATGAAAAAAATACAGCCAGCGCCGCTCGCTAAAAATCGGGAACGACCGTTTATTTACACTCGAAAGATTTTATGTCAAGAGCTCGTATTACTGTGGGTAAAAGTACGAACTAAATTATAAATTATTAATCGTCAAATATATCGAATAACATAATTAAGGGTTGAAATTCGTTAAAAAAATTGAAACATGGTGAAATAACTAATTATTCTTACAACAAAATGCGTTTTAAAAATTTTAAGAAATGTATATTCTCCTTGAACGGAATATGATAACGTTTAAATAAATCAGATTTTCGTCATAGATTGAAATTTCTGAAGAAACTGTTTATGCAGAACTTAAGAAATATTTACAAAAATAAGAGTTAACCAGAAAATGGGTGAAAATCAAATCAGTTTTCTCTATTAGACTTAAGCAAAGTAGATGTCAAGTTAACGTATCCTTTTTGCCTTTTGCTGCTAAAGGTAAAAATGTTTCTTTTTAGAAAATCTTAAATCTTTTTAGAAAAGATTTAAGTCTTTTTATAACAGACTTAAGACAGATTTTTATAGATTTTTATGATAACTTTTTAACAGCAGAAATGTTTTAAACTGTTTGGCGGTAACCAAACTGCAGAGCAAAAACAATACTCAGTACAATTCAAGGGAATATCCGACTCCGTTATGTAGCCCGAAAAACGAATGAAAGAAATTATTGATCTCAAATATATTGAAGGGTATCATAAAATCCTCCAGCCCCTTAGCTTATGCCACCGACATACTGCATAGTGATCAAAACATCACCACTTTTTACATCTAAACTGTAATGGATACAAATAAAGTACCTACTACAAAATCAGTTAAATTTAAGAAACTACATATTTTTGTGTTTGTAGTTATTCTAAAAAGTTTATATTATAGAGGGTTGTTTACCACATACGACACGGAGTCACAAATTACCTATAATAGATGCGAAAGAAAGCGACTGCATAGGAAACTGCTCGGCAAACCCGACACGCCTATTGAGTGGTGTAAATACACCAGTCGTTTAGTCCGGAAACCTATACTGTGTCGTATTCGCTTGCTGGAATGACATAGTGCGTGGTTATATGTTTCTTTTTAAAAAAAAGAAGAAACTGTTATTTCTAAGTTTTGGGAATTTGTATATCTTATTTAAAATGGGATGCAAATGTGTTTATTTATAAGAAAAAAAAAAGATATTTATAGTATAAAAAATTAATTTATTTAACAAAATTTCATTAAAAATGTGACAAAATTGTTACCTTTCTATTGGTTCTATCGGACTTTTTTCGATAATCTTTATTTGTAAACTTTAATACATCAAATATTTTCAATCTAATAAATCATTTAATGATGTAAATAAGAGGAAATTTCTCACATGGGTGGTCAAATTTTATAGTTTTCATTATATCAAACAGCCTCTGAGAAATGTTTTCAACTCAAAATGCCTTTAATTATGTTTGACTACATCATTAAACAGGGTCTTCAAATACATCAATGTGATATTTGTCTAAAATTTGCAAAAGAATCCGAATCTCTGGATAACTCGAAATTATTTACCCATTTAAAAAGCCTTTGATCATGAAAGTGGAAAAATTTGTTCATTTTATTTACAGGCTGGAAAAATTATTTATATTAAATTTTGATGAGTTTTGCACTGAAGAAAACATTCAGAGGCTGTTTGATATAATGAAAACTATAGAATTTGACCATTTTTTTATTAGATTGAAAATTTCACACCTCTACTTTTCAACCAATAACATGCTTTAATGACATAACATAACATAAGATCTACAATCATAATGTGAATGAACTACAATGTCTATATATTGAAATATTACCCATGTGATATTTTAGTCTTGTAAATTTGCAAATAATAATATTTGTTAATATTATTAATAACTTGAAATTATTTAAAATGTCATGTTTAAAAGCCTTTTTCAAATTTAGGTGTGGAATTTTCTTTTATTTACAGGCACGCAAATTATTTTATTCCTAAATTTTGATGGGTTTTGCACTTTTAGAAAACATTCAGAGGCTTCGACTTGATATAATTTTCAAAATATAGAATTGCCCACCCATGTGAGAAAATAATTTAAGCATTAAATGATTTTATAAGTTGAAAATATTGTATGCATTAAAGTTTACAAAATAAAGATTTATATAGTCGAAAAAAGTCCGATAGAACCAATAGAAATGTAACTATTTTGTCACATCTTTAATTAAATTTTGTTAAATAAATTAATTTTTTATACTATAAATATCTTTTTTTTTCCTAATCTCCTACGAGCTGATATAATATGACGAGCAATCTATTAAATTACTGTGAGATTATACAGAAAAGTCCACAGACTTCGAGACATAGGAAAATCAAGTCCATTTAGCGTGTGTCCAAATTTTGACAAGTTTTCAAAAATGACAGTTTTGTTTAGACTGACGTTTAATTTCACCTGACTTCTCGGTGAATGATTTCTTTTTATGGGGGTACATAAAATCTAAAATTTACGGCCATGAAGAAATTCAAAACTTGGAGCAGTTAAGGCAGAAAATATTTAATGCCTTTGACACTGTCACCCCTGATATGTTATCCAATGTGAGGAGGGGATTTTATGATCGTTTGGGTTATTGTTTAATGCAAGAGGGAGGCACTTTTGAACAATTTTTGTAATTTTTTAAATTTCATTATCCTGTTTTTTTACCGTTTACCCATTACCTACCTTGACGAACATGGGAAAACGAAGGTCCTTTTCAGGACCACAAATATTTTGATTGAGAAAATTGGTAACTTTTTTTTGGATTAAAAAACAAAAGTTGTTAATATATACCAATTTAAAAGTGTTTTGGTAGTTTTAATACACACTATGATATAAAATTTATTATTATTATAATGTACATTATTAATACTATTGTTCATTCGAAATGGCATTAAGGCCCAATTGCAACAATGATTTAAATTTTTCTTAAAGATAAGTAGAGCTTAGAATGGGCTGTATTTATATTTACTTTAATATTCACCTTAAATGAGGGAATTTGACTGATACAATTTTTGAATTTGAATTGTTTTTAATGATATTAACAATTTTAGTTCAATTTTTAATAAAATTTATTTAATATTAATAGAAATCCAAG